ATTAACTGATAATAAATTAATTTAAGCAAATATTTCATTTATTTGCTCATAAACTAGTATTTATGACATTTCTATCAGCAAAGGCTAATATTTACTTTTTGTTAATATAACAATAATTAATTTTGTATTTGTTTTCCTTTCTTTTTTTTTCTGTAATAATTTTACTTTGTTTCAAATTCAAAAGCCATTTAATTTCTAAATTCTTTCAATTTCATACATTAATTTTCACAAATAAATCAATAATTTTAGTCATTTTAAACATTTTCAATTTTTTTTTTTTTTTTTTAAATCAATACAAAACTTTTTTTTAAAAAATCTTCATAGTTTCATTGAAGTCTTAATCAAAGCCTTTGTTAGGAAATTCAATATTGTAGTCACAAGTAAGTCTGTCTATTAATGAAATTCTGTGTATGTTTGTATGTATGCATGTGTGCATGTATGTATGTATGTATGTATGTGTGTATGTCTGTACAGGCCTTTATATCCATCTCATATAAGTTAGATTTCATTCTTGTTGCCTTCATTTATTTTTCTACAACTAATAAATTTTTAATCATTATGTTAGCAAAGAATAACATTGTACGATTATTTTGTTTAGGCTAATGAATATTTACTAGGCTCTTTTTTATGGCTAAAATTTGCATTATATAAATAATGTAATATTGTAAAATGTAAAATTTAATTTTAAACAAAACTGAAGGATTCATTTTTAATTTATTTAAATTTAATGAAATATAATTAACGATCTGTTTCATTATATCATTTGATTTAATCAGAAATGAATTAAATCCAATGACAGTGATAAAAAATACTAAATGAAAAACATAAAAGCAATTTAATTTATATATGCAATTCCATTCCCTCAGGAAAATTAAATATGCTTATTTGATTTCTCAAATATTATTCATATAATTAATTTGCTTTCTGAACTTTTAACCATAAAATTAATCTTTCGCATAATTTCATAGCTACTTTAACAATTTCAAATTTGCTCACTTTAGTTTAATACAATTTCAGCCTAAGAATCTAATTTTATGAATTCTTTGATCAATCAATATTGCTCAATGTAAAAATGATCAATCAATTAAATAAACTAACACAACTTAGTATATTTCAACAGAATAATAGAATTTTTAAAAAAAATTTTTGCAAAATTTCAAAAAGCATTTTCCTTTTTTTTTTTTTTATTTTTGCCAATTCATTTTCGTAATATAAATAATAAAAAATTCATTTTTGATTTATTTAAATTTAATAAAATATAATTATCGACCTGTTCATTATTCAATGACACTGATAAAATAGATATGTATCAGTAAGAAAGAGAGAGAGAGAGAGAGAGAGAGAGAGAGAGAAGGAGAGAGAGAGGGATGTCACTAATTAATGAATGATAATGATAATAGCAGCAGTATTAGTTAGTTAGTATTTCTCTTTCATTTCTTCTCTCATTAACAAAGGATAAATTAGAGTTAAGTTGTAACAATAAGACAGATACATTTCATCTATTCCCTTTGAAAAATGAAATTAGTACAATTTCTGTTTAAAATCAATTTGTAAACCCTCTCTCTCTCTCTCTCTCTCTCCCTCTGTCCTTTCTCTCTCTCTCACTCTGTGTCTGTTTTCTTCCTTTTTGTCAGTAATTTTATTTAAATCTTTCTCTCTCTTTTTTTTTTGGCAATGTTTAATTATTCTCATACATATCCTACCATTATTAATAATTGATTACTGTATTGTGAAATATATTATAATTCTAATTATTTAATTATTTGTTAAATTGTTAATAATATATTGCAGTAATAAAATTTTGATCAATCAATCAATCAATTAATCAATTAACTAATCAATCAATCAATCAATCATTTAATCAATCAATTAATCTGCTATGAAATCTTTTATTAATTTATACTAAAAAGTGATGAAAAAAGCAACAAAAAAAAAAAAAAAAAAACCAAATGAAATTAAACATCCAAATCCATTGCATTGGCATAAATATTATCAAAAAAAAGCTTTCAATATTATATCAAAAAAAAAAATTTTAACATTTTACCAATAAACTTTTTATCGTTTTCATTTGAAATTTACTATTATACACTTTTTCTTTTCTTTTTCTTTTTTTTTTTTAATTTTAGTTTGTAATACATTTTCAAATTAAAAAAGGTTTTTTTGAATATTTCATATTTAATACTTTCAAATTATACTTGCAGCGACGAAAATTCTAATATTTCATTGATTTGCAAACTTTAAACTTTGTCAAATTTTCATTTCATTTAATCATTTCTCGGCTAAAAATGATTATGGAAGAAAAAAAAATGTATTTTAACGTATTTTATTAAATTTATTTGTGTCTGCACAAATTTGCATAACACACACACATACACACATACACACACACACATACACATACACACATACACATACACACATACACATACACACACACACATACATACATACACTAGCCTAAATATTCGGAAGCTATAAAAAAAAAATTTTTTTTCATCAATGAATTTACGGAAAAAGATTTCCTTATTAAATTTGTTTGCCATTCTAAAATTGTAAAAGTATTTGAGCTGAGCCTTTCTATTATTTATAAACGAAAACAAATTTCAATTTTAAATACTTACTTATTTTTACTTTGTCATTTTTTTTCTTACATCAATAAAGTAAGCACAATATGATAGAGACAATTGATAAAGAAAATTAGCACAGTTGTTGAAAGTTAAAATTATTTTCAGAGAAAGTTAATGAGCAAAATAATTTGATCGAAATAGTAAGATTAAGGAGAATTAATTTTTATTAAAAAAAAAAAAAAAAAAAAAACAAAAACGATTAAAAAAATTTTTTTAAATTCCTTTTCATTTAGATAATACTAAATTATGTTTAACTTTTTGAGATATTTTAAAATATTTTTTTTTAAAAAAAAAAAAGTAATATAAATCATTGCTGTTTATTTTTCTATCATTAAACGGAAATTATTAATATAATTTATTCAGCTGTAATCTAATTTCATCAAAAAAAAGAAAGAAAAAGCTCATTCTATTGCTTAAACAAACATTAATAATAATAAAATTCGTGTTATAAGTTTTATTTTATTTTTACTTATCAAAAAGCAAAAGCTTTGAATTTTTTTTTTCTAAAAATAATTTTGAAAAAAAATTGAAGCCTAAATCATAACAGCTATAACTTAGTTTTTAGAGGAATGGCAAAAAAAAAAAATTTCTTTCATTTCGTTTTTCTTTTTTAAGTCAATATTTAATAGGTGTGTATCACTGCATAATTAATTGAAATAATTATTTCCAGTTTAAAATTTTTTTTTTCCAGTTTTTCTTCCGGTTTTAAAATTGTAGTAATTGATTAATTGTGAGTGTTATTATCAGTGTGCTTATTATTATTATTATTATCACTTTTATTATTATTATTATTATTATTATTATTATTACTATTATTATTATTACTATTATTATTATTACTATTATTATTGATGATCATTGCATGAAAATAGTTTGTTGATTTTTGAAAATGTTTGATAAGTGTCTCTTAAGTAAATGTGACATGGTTAATTGAAATTTAATCTAATATATTATATGTTTTGAATGCTTTTCTTCATCACTATAGTTTACTTTAAGTTACTTTTCTATATAAAATATACTTTACTTTAAGTTACTTTTCTATATAAAATATACTTTACTTTAAGTTATTTTTCTATATCAAATATACTTTACTTTAATTTACCTTTCTATATCAAATATACTTTACTTTAAGTTACCTTTCTATATCAAATATACTTTAATTTAAGTTACTTTTCTATATCAAATATACTTTACTTTAAGTTACTTTTCTATATCAAATATACTTTAATTTAAGTTACTTTTCTATATCAAATATACTTTACTTTAAGTTACTTTTCTATATCAAATATACTTTACTTTAGATTAGTTGAAAAAGAAAAAAAGAAAGAATCGAGTAGCATATGATATTTATCATTTTTATCTCTTTTCCTTTGATCATTCTAAACTATTTATCATTTTTATCACTTCTCGTTTTATCAACCTAACTTCTTGTTTATTTCTTTTTTCTTTTTGATATTGAAATGTTAAAGCTGCAAAGCAAATAATATAAGAAGCTAAATTATTCATTCTATAAGCATTCATAACATTAGATGTGTTAAGTAATCATAGTAAACTCTAATCATTTTATTCAAATAAGTGTAAATATTCTATGAGCAATAAATTATTTTAATTAATTTTACTATTATTATGAATAAATTAAGCTTAGATTACTTTGCGTGAATGAATGAATGAATGAAAATTTGTTAAATGTTAATTTTGCTTTTCTTTTTAAAAAAAATTTATAGGTTAGTTATATTATTTGTTTATTATATCATAAAACAAATTTTATAAATACTTAATGATAAAAAATAAAAATGAAATTTTGCAAAAATTTCAAAAAAACTTTTTTTTTTTAAAGTTTGGTTTACAAGTATGAAAAAGTGCAATAAAATTTGCTACATATTCTATACTAACTTTTTTTTTTAAAAAAAAAGGGAAAAAATGTTTTCACTACAAATGCGCAAAATTGAAAATATCAAAAATTGTGTAAAGAGTTTAAAAAAAAAAAAAAGAGAGAAAAAAATTTAAAAAGCACTTCTTATAGACTAATAATTATGTTTTCAATCTTTTATTTATTTATTTTCTTATTACTAAACAAAAAATCATTTTTCTCTCTCTCATTTAATCTAATACATTTACTATCATATTTATCATTTCTTTTTTTTTTTGTTTTTGTATTTCTTATCAATTATCAAATTCTTATCATATCTTTTTTTAAATATATGTGGCATTAATCAATAATGTATAAATTAATCGATTATGTACTGTTGATCAAATTGAAATTCAATTATTTTGCAGTATTTATTTCAATGAAATTAAAATGATTGTAATATGCAAAAAAAATGGATAAGAATATAAATCAGATTGAAATGAAATTAAACGATGTGAAATGAAATGTTGTCTGTACAATTTATCATATCATTTTCACTGATTATTTTACTTTGTTTACAAATTAATCCATCTGAATTATTATTTTGTCCAAATAAATGTTATTGCGACAATTCTGAAATGGTTAGTTTTATTTCGAAAATTTTGATATATTATCAATTAATGAATAAATAAAAAGATGAAATGAGTTGAACTTAGGAATATCTAAGAAAATACAAATTAAAAATGTTATTCAGATTTTAATTTTATAGATTTAAACAAACAAATTTTGATTAAAGGAAAGTTCTTTAATCGTAGGAAAAGCTATTATCATTTTTACTTACAGCAGTTTTATTCAAAAAAAAAAAAAATAGTAATAATAAAATAAATAAACAAATATTAATAAATATATCACAATAAGATAAAGTTAAAATTTGGAAATTGTTATAAAATTCTTAAATTCTCAGAGCAAAATTATTCTTTAAAGAATTGTTTTCGGTCTTTTAATTTTTTTCAGCTTCGTAAAAATTTGTATAAAAAATATTAATTTAACATTCAAAGTTTGATGCAAAAGTATCAGAATTGATGCAATTATTCTTTCAATAATAAAAAAAAAAACAAAACTAATTGATTAGTAAAATTTCACTTGTAAATCGATACCTGAGTTTACTAAAATTTCAGGTACAAAATATAAAATTTCAGGTTGATTGTGAAGGTGCACCTTTCGAACAGGTACCTAATATATTGCAAACAAAAGTTCGTATTTTAAGGATTAAAAATTCTTCCATTTCAATCATTCAAAAGGGTGCTTTTAAGAGGTATTTTTCAAATTACATTTTTATTTATTTTTTTAATTCCATTTCTTTCCATAAGAAAAAAATCTTAAAAGCCAAAGGAAAAGTTGTTATATAGTAGCGTAAGCTTTTTCATCATATCAAATCAAATAGTCTAAACAATCAACAATTTAATAATTAAATGAAATTAAAACAATTAAAATGATTGTTTAAATAATCTGTTAACACACTTTTTTTATTGCTAAGAATATACAATCTCTTATCAAACACATTACTTAACCTTATTATATAGTGTTACTTAACAAAACTATAGTAATAGTGATAATTGTTAAGGTTTTTAATTTAAATTTATTTTTCAGAAACCAATAAACTAATTGGATATCAGTTTCTGTACTTGAAATGTACTTTTTTTTCTAATATAAAAGAATTTAAATAATATAGAAATAAATTCCATATAAAAGAAATTTGCTAGACAAGCGGAAAAGAAAATGAATAAAGCATTTTTATTCGGTTCAGATTATTGCGCCTCATATAAATTACATATGCATGCATACAATGGTCATTAGCGCCAGGAAATGTTTATTAGCGCGAGCAAATGCAGCCACTTCTTTTTTCAATTTAAAAAGATTAATTTTTCATTATCAGTGAAGAGATAAAATTAATCCTATATGCTAAAATGATGTGTTAATTTAATAATTCAATTTACAGTAAACAAAAAGATGTATTATTTAAGTTACAAAATAAAAAAAAAACAAATTTAAATATTTAATAATTTAATTTAATGAAAACTTTATTTGACTTTTGGTTTAATTTTTTAATAATAATATTTTTGTATATTTGCTAATATTGAAAACAAACGAGCAAACAACAAATGAATAAACAAACACAAACAAACAAACAACAAACAAATAAACAAGCAAGCTTTCCAATGCTTTTGAAATGTGTTATGACGCTTATTAAAAAGAAAAAGTTAATTAATTTACAACATTTTTCATTTCGCATTTATTTAATTTGAAAGTATTTAAATTTTTATTGAATTTTTTCGATAAGTACCTTAATAATTCTATGCTAATAATTATATGACAATAATGGTATAATAGATATAGTTAATTTAATACACAATTAAATAATTAATGCATTATTGGTTGAGGTACACAGACCTAAAAGAATTAATAATCGAGAATTGCGATCAGTTGCATACAATTGAAAAATTTGCATTCAAAGGTTTAAGTCGTTTGAAGTAAGTTTTTACTTTAATTTGCTGAAATTTTTCAACAATCAAATATATTATTATTTTCAACAAAAAAAATTCTTTTTTTTTCCTAAACGAATTTGTCAGTTAAATATTTTAAGTCAAAGTTAATATTAACAAATCCTGAAATTAATTAAAAATATTATCAAGTAAAAATATTCTTTTAAGCATTTGATAGAAATTTTGAAATTAGTAAACATTAAACAAGAATGTTTCTAATTTTTTGAAATAAATGAAAATTCATAATCAATTAAGTAACATAATGTTAAATTATTCATATTTACAACAATTCTAAGTTAGAATTTGCATATAAATACAGATCTCTTTATAATGATAATGATAATGATAATGATAATGATAGCGATCATAATAATAATAATAATAATCGAGATGATATAATACATTTGAATTTAACTTCATTAATAAATGTTAAAATTAATAAATAAATTTATAAAATGATAGTTTAAGCCTATTTATTTACTTTTTCCCATTCATTGTGACCAATTATTCGCTTATTTATCATTTCTTTTATATTTTAATTTTCAATAATTTCATTATAATAAATAAAAATTATGATTATTATTACTTTAAGAAAGTTTAAAAATTAATAAAATATTTTGAAAATATTTTATTTTTTCTTTTTCAGATTACTTCGTTTAGCTAATAATCCAACATTAAATAATATTGCAAAGAATGCATTTTCACAAATAACAAACAGGCATGGCTTACGAATTCAATTAATTAATAATAGTTTTACTCGAATACGACAGGGTTTATTCAGGTCATTAATTATTATCATTTGAATTTCTTTTTATTATTTTTAACTTTTATTTATTATAAAAATAAAAATTATTTAATTAATTTTGATTTATTACATTTAATCAAAATGAAATCGATTTGTAATAAATAATATGAAATAATCATATTTTGATCAAATTCTTATAATATTGCAGGCAATTAAATCATTTAAGAGAATTTACTTTGCAAGGTGAAAATTTAAAAATTGAAGTGAATGCATTTGCAAGTTTTACGCAAGTTGATTTTTTTAATTTATTCGGTGTAATTTCATTTGGATTACGATCATTTGAAAATACTTCCAGAATACATAGGTAATAATTTGGTAAAACTTTAAATTTTATAATTTAATTAAATATTAATTTTATTCATTCTTCCTACTTTGCAATTTTTTATCATATTTATTCCTAGAAAAAATGAGCAAAATGTTAACTAATCTTTTATTGCTTACTTTTTAAAGTAACTTTTAAAGCAACTCAAACTTTCATTACTTTATTCCACAAGGATAAATTAATTCAAAAATTGGTTAGTATAAATTAAATTAAATTTTAAATTCAACAAAAAAAAAAAGACATATATACATCAGTGTTGGCGCAAAAACTCAAATAAATGCAGCAACAAAATGCGCCTTCTTGATAATGAGAAATTTGATAATATTATTATCTATCTATCAGCTCAATTTTATTTCATCCATCCATTATTATGTAATATTTTTTTTTTTTCCTCGAAAGTTTTTCTTTGAAACATTTTTCTCTCTTTTTTTTAGACTTGAAATCAGTCATTCACAATTTTCAATCACAGCTGGCGTATTTACTGCATTATCACATATACGAGAAGTAAACATATATTTACAATTCATTTCTTATTTAAGTTAAATAAAAAAAAATGAAATATCTAAGTGTTTTTTTTTTAATTTTTAAAATATTTAAAAAAAAAACCTTTTTGATAAATGTAATTTTTTGATTGTAAAAAAAGAAAAAAATAATTTATCCTGTTTGTAGATTCATATTATTTCAAATGAAATTGATACGATTGATACGGAAGCATTTACCGGTCTTTATACAATTGGTTCATTAATAATAACTGATAATAAAATTGGTAATATTTCGGGTTATGCATTTGCAACAATTGTTAATATCGGTGAGATTATTATTGAACGGAATACTATCCGGAATCTGGAAACGGAAGCATTAATAAGTGAAGCATGGCAAATTAGATTTCAGGATAATATCCTGTACTGTAGTTGTGCTATTAATTGGCTCAATTATATCAATGTTTGTTCTTCATTTTATATTTAAATATTAAAACAAAATTTTTTTTTCTTGGTTTATTAGGTTTTATTGTTTACGTCATTAATAATAATAATTCTTTTAATTTATTAAAAATACTAACTTATTAATTCTCTGAAGAAAAAATTTGCTAATTTGATAACTTTTATCAATTAGATAAATTGAATAATTGTTTTAAATTTCTTTTATTACTGTTTAGCAGTACACATTTTAATAACATTTAATTTTAACAAGAAATAAGTTAAAAACTTTAAGAGAAATAAAAAAAGAATAAAAATAGATTTTCCTAAAATTTTTCTTAAAGCTTAATTCTTTCATTTAAATTTCAATTCAAAAAATTTTAATTATTGATTTCTTTTTTTTTTTTTTTAGAATTCAGTATTACTAAAGAAGAATTTTTGTGGTGCTGAAGAATTTCATCGGTCTCTGTTAAACTATAAGCCGAAATGTCTACGGCCGAAAAGAGGATTGTCTGCAACAATTATTACAAGAACTCGTCATTTCATTATTATCTTTTGCTTGTTTATTGTTATGTTTTATCACAAAACAATTTGATTGTTTCTTATCTTTTTTTATCCAAAAATTGTAAAATGTAAAGGTCAGAGGGCATTTGAGAATTATTAGATTTGTATTTTGTGCATTTGCATTTTGTTAATTTTTAATTTATTTTTGGTGTACTTATTATTAATTCCTAACTAATAACTTCTAATCTCTTGAACAATGTCAAATGTCAAATAATAGAATTATAGGATTTAATTTTATTAATTTTAATTATTAACTGATATGTTAAATGCGATTAAATTTCAAAAAATTTAAAGTGAGTCATTAGTAAATAATTTGTTAAAAATATAGTTTCTTTTTTCAATATGTTAGTACTACTATTATTAGTAAATAATATCGCTACCAATTACTTCAATGTCTTTCATTTTATTAAATATCAATTTTTTATATCTAAAATTATTCCTTGCATTGTTTAATTAAAATTTAAAATTCAATCATATCCAGGCTTATTATTATTACTATTATTATTATTATTATTTTTATTATTAAATGTTATCGCCAGTTTGCTGCTAAATTCTTGTTCATTTGGTTTTATTATTGCTAATTTTTCAAATTGTATGATTTTTTTTCTCAGAAAAAACAATATAGAAATGAATGATTTGATAATCACTTATATTTGTTGAAAATATTGCACCTCAAAACATTCCGATAATTGAAAAGTTATATTAAATTTATTCTTAAAGTTCAAAAATTGCTAAAAATGTTTGTTTATCTGTTTTTTAGCAATAATAATTCAATTTCATTTTCTTTTCATAATTTTCTATTCGAAAATGTTTAACTTTTTCCTAATTTTAAATCAATTTTTTTCTAATAAACTATTGGATATGCGTAAAAATTTTTATCTGTTGAAATGATAATTTTTTCTCTTTTTTAAAAATATGTCCTATTTAATTAGTAAATTTGAAATTGATTTAAATATGTATTTATTCGGGTCATATGTGATACATTTTTTGCGCTTATTATTACATATTAACAAATAAAAATATATAATGGCCAAAATTTATTAACGCAAATTAATTATTTCCATTTCCAATTAAAATACTTTATAAAAAAACAAGCAAAAGTTATTTTGAAAAAAAAAAAACAAAATGAATAATATAATTTTATCAGCGATGTATACAATCTCGTGATTCTTTCTCGAAAATAATTTGCATATTAATAGTACCAATATCAAAGAATTTCTCCACTTGTGTACCACTACTCACATATGATGATGGTATTTCAAATGCTATTTTTCGTTGACAAGGCTAAAATGATAATTGATATGATATAAAATAATCATTAATTGAAATTATCATTATTATATTACCGCAAAAAAAAAAAAAAAAAATTAGCAAAGATTTTTAAGTGAAAGATTTAAAAATTAAGAAAAATAATAATAATAGTATTAGTAGAGAAAATTTATATTACAATTAGGAATTTTATTAAATTAAAAAAATCATATAACTTACCATTATCTGATCATCACAATCATGATAAATCTTGAGAATAGGATTGATAGTAGTGATCTCACTGGTATGACCACTCAATTCGAAATAACCCTGAGCATTTGTCCTTCCTTCTTGTAGTAAATCATCAATGTCTATTGCTAAAGAGTGTAATAATAATAATAATAGTAATTCATCCTCTCCTTTTTACCCATCTGAGACTAATATAAAATTATTTACTAACAAATAAATTAGTTAAATTCAATATGATTAAAATGATTAACTGAATATATTGCGTATAATTCATGTAATGCAATTAATATTTTACAAATGATGAAAAGAAATTGAAAAACAAAAGTTATTTTTGATCAAATATCACTGATATGGTTAGAATGGTAGAATTATCAAATCAAATATCACTGATATGGTTAGAATGGTAGAATTATCAAATCAAATATCACTGATATGGTTAGAATGGTAGAATTATCAAATCAAATATCACTGATATGGTTAGAATGGTAGAATTATCAAATCAAATATCACTGATATGGTTAGAATGGTAGAATTATCAAATCAAATATCACTGATATGGTTAGAATGGTAGAATTATCAAATCAAATATCACTGATATGGTTAGAATGGTAGAATTATCAAATCAAATATCACTGATATGGTTAGAATGGTAGAATTATCAAATCAAATATCACTGAGTGAAGAAGTTCATCAATAAATTAAATAAATTTAAAGGAATATAATTTTAACATTAAACAAACCGTCTTCATCCCATAATTTTACTTTAGTATTTGCTAAGGGTAAATCACCGCACATCAAAATACCTCGAACGCCAGCACTTTGTGTTCGAAATCCATTTACTGAACACAATGTTATTGACAATGCAAGAAAAACAAACATTTGTAAATCTGAAATAAATATTATTACAAACTTCTTATCATCAAATTTTATCATTTCCATCAAACATAGCAATTATTTATCATTTTAGTAGTAATATCCTCAAATTAATGTTCTATCTAATTAATCTTCTAGTTAATTAAGCTAATTGAAATGTTATTTTATGATTAGTAATGAATTGTTTCTTCTTATCATTCCATTTCAAAATAAAATGATAAAATAAGAAATGCATTTACTTGTGATTGTGTAAGAAAAAAATGATAGCATTTAAATTAACAAATATTTGGAAAAAAAATTAAACAGATTTCAGCATTTTTTTTTTTTGATTTCTGTATTTAAAATTAACCAATTTCCGTTTTTTTTTTTTTGTTAAACTTTTTTTTTTCTTAAAAACTGCTATTTTTAATTTCAATATCAATTCAATAAAGCTATGTGTGGAAAAATTGAAAGTTTTTGAATGAATTTTTTGTATAAATCAAAAGTTTTTAATTGTAACACAAATAATCTTTCTCTAAAATATTTGGTAAAAAGAAAAGAAACACTTAATCTGTATAAAATATTATTAAACATTTAATCTTAGAATATTATTTTGTTGAAAAATTGATTTCACATATATTTAATCACATATTCATTTCTTTCATATATTGCGTAAAAATTTCAAATAAAAGAAACGAAAATGACAAAACCAGTTTAATCAAAATTTTTTTTAAAAATTAAAAAAAATCAAAATCAAAGTGTGTAAACTCAACTTACTCTATTAATCATTAACATTTATCACTGAAAGTGTAACTAAATATATTATCAAATTGTGTCTATCATTCTTCCTTCTAATATTTGAATAAAATATTTCCCTAACAAATTGTCAATACGTCAAGTTAAGAATGTATTTTCATTACTTTATGATATGTATCATCAGAACCAGTTTTTAAATTTCAACATATTATTGATATGTTAACACTTACAATTTTATCATCGATCACTCTTAACTTTCTCTCTTATCAATAATATCAAATTCATTCTTTTTAGAAGATAAAAACTAATAAACAAAAAATATGAATGAGTTAAAATGAATGATACATTCAAATGGGATATTTTACATTAAATATTATTAATATTAACTTTCGTTTTAAAATGTTATTTCTTAATTTAATGTTGTGTTAAATGCATTATTCACAACGTAAAACAAATCAAAAAATTGAAATGTTTAAGAAGACAGTTTATTAAGCAATTTATATTAATTCCATTTCAAATACAGTGCATCATCATTCGTACATACATTCATGTCAGAAAATTTGGAATGAATTTTAATCAAACAAAATTTATTATTGCAAGTAAACTTTATAGCACACATTAAAATACAATCATGCTTTACAAAAGTTTTCAGTAAATTTAAGAAAAAACACGAAATTCAGACATTCTCAGTCTTATTCTTTTTTTTTTTAAAAAAAAATAGAAAAAAATTTATATTAAAAAATAGAATGAAAATTTCGAAAAAAATAAGGCCGAAGAAAAAATTATGATATTTATAAAGCTTTTCTGGAATCAATTTTGGACAAAATAAATAAAATTCTACTATTACTAGAACCAGAATTTTCGGAAAAATTAGTCCCAGAATGATTAATCTTGATGAAACCATTGTACACCTGACAAAATAAAGTGTAATAAAGTTTTCTATTAGTGACATAATAATAAAATATATAACACAAGAAATAAAAATTAAAAATAAAAAAATAAAAAATTTATATTCTTAATATAAACTCTGCTTAATTTCGAAACTATTCTCTTATCTATTAGAATTTGAAAAAGAAATGAGAAAGCAATGCAGTATATAAAGAGAAAATTATAAATTTATTTATGTTTTCTTCGAATTTCTTATTCCAGGATACCATTCCTCATCCGACGACTCGTTCGAACTGTTTTGTTTTCGGAGCGGAATCTTTGCTTAAACATAAATCAAATAAAACCATTTCATTTTTATTGTTTTTCACTCTCATTTTAAAGATTGAGGTATAATAACATATATATAATATACGATGCATATCTTTCATTATTACAAATTCCTTTAGTTTTTTACGAAGAAAGGAATAATGTTTTGGTATATTCAATTCTAATTCATAAAATTCTAATTCAATTAAAAAATAAGACTAATTGGACAGTTAAAATTAATAAATACACGAGAAAGTAATTATACGTACTTGAAGATTGTTTTCCATTAGTTCGCGCATTATATCGTTTCTTTTGTGAACTGTATCGCCCTCAAAATGCTTCTAATTAGTTATACTTTTTAAAAATTTAGTTTTTACATTTAATTTAAGCTAATAACAAGTCTTCAGTGTCTAAACACCAATAATATAAAATATAAATAAAACAAATTGATAAGAAATCAGTCAGTCTTATAAGTAATCACACATGTTTTTACCTTAAATATGTTTAATTTAGACAAAATTTTTTTTCACCCACAGCTATCAGTGACAGAAGCAAAGCAAAAGCACGAAAGTAATAAAACGAATATCTAAAACCTTTCTTCCGCGGTGAATGTTCCATAATATTGTTGCTAACTTTCTCTTTACTACTGAACCAAAATCGATTGGTAGATCTGTTTCGTTTGCGAGATATATCTAAACTTTTTTTTTTAATTTGATATTAAACTGCTATAAGAAAAGATCACGTTTTGCCAGAAGAAAAATTATTCAAAATTTACTGGTGCTGCTAAAAAAGCATTTACAACTTATTCATATGGAAAATAATTTCAGTAACTGTTTAAGGATTTAATTTTTAGTTCATTGTTGATACAAAAAGAAAAAAAAAGAAAAAAAGTATACTATTTTCATGCATAACAAAAATTTTTGGTATTGTGCACTGATGTTTGCTTAATTCATTTAAATAGTACTTTTACGCATGCATTTTAAATTTGTTACCTTATCATATATAAACTTCAAAGATGGTTTCCTATAAAAGAATCATCGATTTTTTACATTTCATATTTACGTTTTCTTACAAAACTATGTAAAATACACTTGAAAAAAGCAAACTTTTTTTCATTTAATTCCACAATTTAAACTCTTCTCTGTATTATTCAAATAGCTCTAAATCATTTAACAAAGTTAAGAGATATGTATATATATATATATATAAATGTGCTTCTATCCTAGATAGTTTCACTAGTTTCAACACTACATCACTTATCATTATATCCGTATTTAATCACAAAAAAATGAGACCTTTTTTTCTAGATTTGGAGATAGAAATTTCTGCAAATGTTCCATTTTCAGCTGTTTCATTCGTAGTATCCGAATAATCAGATCTCATTAAGTATTCATCTCCATCGTCTAGTGCTGCTAAAATATTTCAGTTAAATATTGCTCTTGAAAAAAAAAAAAAAAAATTTATGCTGTAAAACTGAAATAGCGCACTTGTCCTGTTATACAAAAACAACTCACGTGATTCGCTATCTTCCGATTCGCTATCATCTGCGCTGCAAATATTATAAAGATTCTTATTTCTAGAAGTACCATTTTCATAAATGCGACGATACTGAAAATGCATTAAACAATAAGATATCACAATCTACGATATCATAAGCGGATCAATAAATGTTCGCTTATCAATTGCAGAAGGTGGATAGAATTGGTTAGCAGATTTATTACTTTATATTCAAATCCACAATAATTACAACTATATTCTTTATATAGTCAGCAAAATTAAATTCCGCCATTGTTAACAAAATTAAAAATTCAAGACCCACCACTAATTTTGTCAATTAATTCAAATCACTGTAAAGCCACAAAAATGTAACCCATTAAAGTTTAAAACATTTTAATAGTATTTATGATTGATTGTCATTCACAACGGCGTTCCCCTATTTAATTTAACTTGATACCACTACATGTGAGACTTTTTAAAGAAAGTTTGACATGCATAATCCTATATTATCCTGCTTAATTCATCAGCTAGTTAGGCATCTACTTACTGACAAAAAATTTCAAAAAACAAAAATTTCATTTCTTCCTTTTGAACAAAAGTTTTTCTTAAACAAGCAAAGGCTTGAGTCTAATCAAAAGATAGCTTAAAATATGATTTATATCATAAGTGTTCTATAGAAGGACCATAACGTATCTTAATCTAAAGTTTTTTAGACGCTCATGGTTCAAGAGTAAATTGATTTTTTAAAGATCAGTCCAGTTTCCTATTTGGGATGAAACGATGATATGGAAGCATACATTATGGAGTAAACATGTATGTATATGAAGAAGAAAAATAAGGAAAAGTATTGCATAAAAACAATAAAAACTGCATACTGATATATGAGAAAAAATTTTGTAAATCAATCAGTGATAGAAATACAAGAAAAGATGAATTAAGATAAATGATTGGTACTTAAAAGAACGTATTTCTCTGAACCAACCTTAAGATCTTTACAGTCATCTGGCGCAAGCTCTGCTTCCAATGTACAGTTTGGTAAAAGACTTTGGACATATGCAAAGTGTTCAGCAGAAAGTGCACCCAACACTCGACCATCCAAAATTAGCTTCTTTAACTGTTTTCGTAAAATAGGATGGATACTTTCAACTGCATTACATATTCGACTCGATAAGCCTTGTATCTTTGTTTCAGGGACTGAAAAAGAGACATGAACTTGTATCTTTCATTTTGAAATGACAATTATTCAACGAAAATCTTCTACCAGATACTGAAAGTATATTGAAAAGAAAAAAAGATCTCTTCCTATATACACCGACCGACATTATTTTAAAACTTTATATAATATTTAATGAACTGCAATTCAAGACTGACTCACCGCAACATACAATTCCCAAAATTTCCAATCGAATAGGAATGCAATTCATGCCGTCCTCGCCTGTTATCAGTGATAACGTTTCGAAAAATTCAAAAAAGTACCTAGAACATTAAATGTTAGCAGCGAATACATATTCAACACGTAGTTTTCTTATGTTTAAAGAGAACCGCTTTCTGACTTAGCAAAATAGCATTTTTATAGGCGCTAAACTCTTCTTCCAATAGAACTATTCATTGGGAAAAATTTCATTCTGGAAGATGGACCGTAAAGTATAAAATATGAAAAAAATAACTTCTTAAATTATTTTGATCTGTAGAATGAATATTTAGTTGATAACCTAATGAATATATATCAAACGACTTTTCAAGTGAAATCATTGGATAAAAAAACACAAAAACTTGCGGTGCATTAGTTCGAAATACGACTATCCTAAGGTTTTCTTTTAATTGCATGAAAACTCGGAAGAATTCCATAACGTTTTGAACTGTCTCACGTTCGTTATGTGGAAGACCACATAATGTCACATAAACTTCTTCAAGCTCTGATGTTAAAGAATAAGAAGTCACATTTGGAACCTAGAAGTAAAAACTAGATTCAGAACCAATTTATTTCTGTAAGAATGAGATTTTTCTCTAAACTTAAGTAAACACAAAAAAAGTGCATTCATCATTTTTCAAACTGATGCACGTCAAAATTAAAATTACAATACAAAAAATATGAAAACGTACATGAAATGTCAAGCAGTTCAGAGTTATCTCAAAAACAGCCAAATAGCGCAAAAATAGAGTATTATCAGTTGTCGATCGTGGCCTATAAAAATGCAAATTATCACAAATTTCAAAAATAAAAAAAAAATCGCAAAAAGTATTAATGTGTTATAATTAACAAAGTACCGAACATCATGTTTTCATAAATACAGAAAATTGATTCCTAAGAAGTGTAGACCATAAATTTTGCCCCTAAAAGTGCAAAGAAAAAATACCATCTATAAAATTTCTTCATACTTCTGCCAGCAGCAGTAAAATGGAGACGCAAAATTTTGGGAAAGAATTTCGCCATAGAAAGATTAAATAAATGTACAACTCGTTCTTTGCGGTAATAATCGAACATAACATGAATTTCAACTTCCTCCGCAAACTGAAATGCAAATTTTTAGTTTTGCTAGGATATATGCTAAAAAAAGAAAGTACTTTGTATCAAATGATTTTTCTAACAGAAAATGTAAGCTCAATCAGTACAGTTGAGAACAAAAAATAAAAGTAGTTATTTTTTATATTGACCAGAACTCAAAACAATCATTTCTATATAATGACTATTTCTAAAACAAAATAATTCTTTTTTGAAATACATCGCCATTATAAATTAGTCCATTGGGAAAATGGAAAATACGAAGCATAAACCACTGATCATTTTGGTAACAACTTTTCAATTCCCACACCATACTTTGCTTCAAACGTAAAGAATTGACAAATCAAATTTTTTTTCATTTTTTTGACTTTTCTTACAGACAAGTAGCGAGATCAAAACTTTCAAAGCTTTAATGATAACTCTTTTCCTAAAAACAGACATTATTAAAAAGATAAATCTGTCATATCTGTCTTTACAAGTATTACAAAAACCTGATGTCTCAATATAACATTCTTCACCAGTGATAGTTTGAAGTCGCTAAAGAAAAATAAATCCATTAAAACACCAAACCGCTCCGCATCCATTGTCGTTGTATTTATTGCTTTCCAAAATCTGCACAACACTTCCGTACGATATGCGATTTGGTTTTATATTTGCGCAGATTTCCGTTGGAAATCCAATACTGAACTTCTTTTTTGGTGTCGCCAAATTCAACAAGCTGTGTTGATACTGAAACAAACAGTTAAAAGCAACTATAATAAATTGATAATTTTCTCATATCATTAAACATCCATTTAACACATAAAAAACATTTTCCTTATAGAAGAAATTATATCGATCCAAAATTAAGATAAATGGAAAAAATAAAACCAATTGTCTTTTTGCGATTAGTTCAAAACCAATAATGACATATACGAAGCATCAGTAATTTAGTATAAGAAAATTATGGATATTAAGAAGTATCAAAACTATAGAGTCAAAAACGAAAAATTACCAAAGCAGGCGGAATATTCAGGATGATTGTATTGGCTGTAGTCACTGCCACCGGGACATGAAATTTTTCAGATAGTAGTTGAGCCGGAACTGAAAGTAATCTTTATAAATATAATAGTTCAGAAATAATTTAAGCTAGAAAAACTACTAATATCGTGATTGCCAATTGAAAAATAACTTCTATTTTCTATTCTTTTCCCTTTCCTCATCTTTGGAAATTTCCATTCATTCTTTGTGAACATAACTCCATAGCAAATCATTGTAAACGGAAGAATCTTTCAAGAGACTTATAATTCTATACGACAAAGCGGGCTGTTGAAATTGTGAAAAAGAAAAAAAAACCTTTATCAAACCAATTTCTTACAGAATATTTTTCGAAGCGCAAGATCGCATGAGCAAACGACAGAGCAACGTAATCAAGATACACCTTCTTTGTAGATGGTTTCACGGAGATCCAAACCCGATCGCCAATTCCTTCCTCCTGAATATAGACTCACATTAAATATTTGCAAAATCAAAAGTTCCAGCAAATTTTACAATATACAAATTTCCCACTTAAGTAGACAGCTAGTGGTAGCCCAAATTCAATGAATCAATTAAATCTAATTCAAAAAATATTTCCAACACCTGATCTAAACCAGTAGGAGCTGACGGTACTAAAGAAGTGGATAATGAAAGCGTCTTTTGAGCTATATACTGTGAGGTAGATATACCGCAGAAAGATTTAGGATCATCACAATCATCACAAATAGGATGCTCTAGTGTCAAAGAAACAGTCCCTTGCTTCCTTTTCTCGTTATCTTCTGATTTTCTGAAAAAATACTTTCTACATGAACTGAATTCCTTAAAAATAACATTTAAGAAAACAAAGACACGTCATTCTGTTGCTGCCTAAATTATACAGTATTAGATCACTTAGATAAAACTATTAACTTTTTAGAATAAGACAATGTTACTGATAAAAAATCGCGCTATGAAATATTCTCAAAAAAGCCATAAAAATAATGTTAACAAAAGTGTAATCCTGAAACTGTGTTATCTCAAACATAGATACAGAAAAATAGTTATAAACCTATTAGATCTTAAACGACAAAATTTGTGGTGAAAATGGGTAAAGGAATGCACACTGATGATCTCGACAAAAATTTCAAAAAGTATAAAGATATTTTGATTCAGATTGCTAAATTGAAATTCAGTGATTGGAAATCTTGTAAATTTACCTCGAATTTATATCGGCATCAAAACCAAATCGCGTGAAGAACTGATCGAAAAATATCTGATCATACTTAGTTATATGCAGTACCTACAACAGCAAACTATTAAACTAGTAACTCAATAACAAATAAAAATTTCCAAAAAGAGTTGAGTTTGATTAAATTACCAATCGCTTTAAAGAGTTGACAGATCCCAAATAAACTAATGCACGAAGGTCGCAATTGAGCCATGTAAAGTCTTCCAAATTTTTTAGTTTCGGAAACAGTTCCCTTAAATTCCATTTTTTAGACGGTCCCTATAAAAATACAGTTAAAGATCAGGAAATCAGCAGTTTCAAGAGTCTTCTCCAAAGAATGATGAATAGATAATTTCGTGTCCAAAATCATTTGTGCCAGCTAAAGTTTAAGGACGAACATTTTATATAGATCCTTTGTTCTTTTTTTTTTAAAAAAAAAAAATCATTTTAAAAACACTGAAACAAAGATCACTTAAAACGAGGTCAAAGGCAACAATTAAATTTTTTGAGATGGGTAAAAACAGCAATCAAAACATTGCTCACTCACCTTTGGTACCATAGTTCCAAGATCTAAAACTGTAAGATATTCTGCACGAGTCATGGCTACTTCAGCAACTGTTTTTTCGCGCAATATACCACACCAACTTCGCAAAGCTAACAAATCTTTCATATCGAATAATATTTGACGCATGAATGCGTCAAAACTTTTCCGTGCTGTAGATGTTTCACTCCAACAACAATTGTAGCACAACATTAGCTGCAAAGAATTTTTTCTGATCCCAGCTTTCTTTATCATTTCAAATTTTCCTTAAATTAATTATTTATTAATAATTCATATACCTTCTCGACATCCAGCAATCCAAGGTCAGTTAATGAAGAAATGTTAGCATCAGCCCAATGTAAAAACGATATAATCCGAATGAAAACAAATTGGAAATCATTCTCGACTGCATCGTTGTAATTATTCCACAAAGCTCGAATTTCACGAAAATAACTCTGAAAATGTAGATTATGAATAATTTTAGTATTAAAGAAAATATTCGCAAGAAAAGATTTCATTTCATTTAGATTATTGTTCAAATATTTGAAATATTATACTAAAATCATCGATCATTTACTCTATCTATAACATTAGATCTGAAACAGGCATAACTTCTCAATATAAACATATTTAAAGAAAAAGTACTGGAACAGCTATTTCACGAGCAATGTCCAACATTTCGAGACCACCATTTTTACCACGTCGGCATAATTCGTTTCCTGAAAAAAAAAATAATAAAAGCTAAAATTATTAAATTTAGGATGACTATAACGCAAAAACGCTTAAAAGTTACAAAACATACGTATAGCAAGATAGAGATTCATATTTCGCAATGCTTGCAGCTTAGCAAGTGGTCGTAACAAATCGAATCCGATATAATGATAGAGCTCCCACGGAATGAATAAACCATTTGGATCAAAGACAATTTTAAAATTATTAGCAATTCCTGAAACATATAAGCATAAAATCAATTCAATAAATAGCTGCGACAAATAATTAAGAACCATTCGCAGTGAGAAAACATAAGAAATAAGCAGTTTTTAAAAAGAATCAGTTGTTCAAATTCCGTTTTCTCCTAATCATACATAATACTGTAAAAATGTGAGTTTATGAAAACATCTAAGACGATTACATCTTTCGGGTTTTTTTTTTTGTAATTTATTTTCCATAAATTTCCTTCAAAATCTGAGCAAGATTATAAAATGCGGAAAAAATTTCGCATCAGACAATGAGAAATTTCAAAAATCTCAACCTAATATATAAGTCCACATTTTGTTAATCACATACTTGTTTTATTATAAAATATCTAAAAAAGACACCCGTTGTACTGCAACACTGTTGATTCGAAAGTTGAAGCAAACTTCTTTCTTTTTCTTGATTAAAGTAAGATTCATGTGACTTCTTTTCTTCTCCTTCTATACAGTATAACAACTTATTATCCGAAATATTCTGTAAACTTTAAAACTATTAAAATTTTTAAGGGAAAGAACTAAAATAATAACCATTGCAATTAGTTCTGGTATGCATCAAAGTTTTATTGCATTTACATGAAATTTTAATCAATACAAACTTGTAAAGCAGCACTGTTGGGAGGGAACTGATTAAGTACAACAATATCGATGTCTTCAGATAATTCTGGAATTGAACTCGATGATGAGGCTTCTCCAACCATTTTTTTTCTCGATATTTTTTGAAAGATACGGACCGAAATTCTTAAATAGAACTAAGACTGAATCATTTTTGAAGTACCAAGAAGACTTCGTCATCTATAAATTATATCCAATGGAATTTCTCGAAATTACAAAACATAAGCGATGAAAAGGTATATAAAGAGGCACTAAACATCAAATTAGTGTAAGTTTCATAATAAAATGGCAGAATCGTTATTTACAATTAAAATTTTACAAAAATTATTGCATATGGAACTCAATGTCGTGCAAAAATTACTGCTTAAATTCTCTTTTCGCTTTCTTTCAGTGAAAAAAATACCTCAAATGTTTTGAAGACTTTAATTTACATCAAGTTCCACTGAATTCCTTGCCGAACACCGAATACTTGATCACTGAAGCACAGAATGGCATCCTGAACACTGCCGTAGCTATCGGCGATTTCTGTCATCCCAAACAGTTTGGTGACCTATGACATCGAACACCTGATGGCTTACTGGTGAGTTTTATATTTTGAAAGTTTAAATTTAAAAGATATCACGTGAAAATCACAATATGTCATTTAGTCTAATATAATTACGCTTGACAACGTAAGAATTCAAAAAGTCTCTGGAATGCTTATCATGCACAATGAACTACAAAATAAAGTATTCAGCAATACAGACTATAAACAATTCTTTTAATTGAATTGAAATCATTAATACAACTGATGAAGTGTAAAATTGTATAATTTTTTCTTCTTAAAAAAAAAGATTATTACAGAATGGAAAAACCAATAAAATATTTTTATGGAAGACCCGAGAAAAAGTTAGAATATTCATATATATCAAAGGAGAATATGAATAATAATAACCTTGGAATCTTTCATAGCTTAGTTTAGAGTTAAAAGATAATGAATGCTACTTATTTCGGTTTGAATAAAACTTAATAGTATGAAGACTAACAATATGAACACTGTCACATTAAGTGATATCATCACTGTCACATTAAGTGATATCATCACTGTCACGTTAATTTATCATTGTATATTCTATAAAATGATACGCACCATAATTAAAAAGCCAAGAGCCTAGAAACACTAATGTGCCCATTAAAAATATGTTTTATTGAAACTCTAAACGGGACGACTGGCACTTTGCGGTTAACTATTATTGCGAAGTTTCATGAAGCTAAAAGATTTAAATTCCATTCCATTTATCGCCGATTATTTGTTCCATCTTCAATTATCGATTTTTGCCATTGACTTTTTATAGTATCAATTGATTTAGCAAGTTATTAAATCTTTTGAGATCTGAGATAAGTACACAAAGATGATAAAATGTCGTTTTTTTTTTTCTTTTTTACGAAGTTTCAAAGTTAAACTTATATTATTGATATTATTTCAGACTAAATTTGATGATGTAAATAATGTTCAGTGAGCAGTATATTCTTGTACCATTGACAGAGAAGAAAAATCTTTGTTCCGAATGTATCGAATTATTAAATCAAGTTAGTTTGTTTTTAAATTTCATTCAAATTTCTTCATATACTTTCGTTTTCATGAAAATTTAAGATGAAATGTAACGTCAGGAATGGCCACGAAGTGTAGGTGCACGTGAGAATACATTACGTAAATCGCTTAATTCATCACCTCCGATGTCATTCATTATGGTTGATAAAAAAACTAATGAATTGGTGGGTCATGCTAGATTATGTCCACTTTTGGCAGTATCGCAAAGTTGTTGGATTGAATCCGTTATTATTGATAGCAATTTAAGAGGTAAAGGTTTGGGATGTTGGCTAATGGCACAGCTAGAAGATGAAGCCAGGAAGTTCGGATTCAAGAAAGTAAGTTACATTTATGATTACTTTTAAGTTTCAAAAATTTCATTCTCAGCAAATTATAAGTAGTGATAGTGCTGTGAAGTAGTTTTGCACAGAAACATTGCTGTTTGCGGGAAGTTTGCATAAAATAATGTCAATATTTAAATTTCTTTTAGGCTTATTTATCCAGTGAAAATAGACAGGCATTTTATGCAAAATGTGGTTATGCAACTTGTGAACCAGTGCTTAATGTTGGTGCTAATGCGGCCTTGTTTGAAAGATTCAATTTGGGAGGATATTTCTCTTCAGCTGTTGATGGATCTACCTCTAATGTATGTTGAATGTTTTTGATTTAGATTCATTTTCAGTCTGGGATGATTTTTTAGGACAAGTTTTTGTCAATTTCATTTATAGAATTTCACTTCTTTTCTTGATAACTTTTCTGCATAGGAACTTATTTAGAATGTCGAAAATGTAACTGAATCACTTCAAAATATGCAATTAGTCTCTTAGCTGTAATCATATCATTCTTAGCAGGGTGATTGGCATAGCTAATTTGAATTTTTTGATATATCTTCAAAATACAAAAGTGCAAATTTAATTTGAATTTTTAGGCAACTAACCATTTTCGAAAATTTCGATTTAATGACGGATATAAAATCACTGTTTTTACGACTCATTCTTTAAGTATTATAAATTCTACGAAATTACATGTATTATTTTAGTAAGAACCAAATTTTTTGCAGGAACGAATTACTCGAATTAATTCATCGAAACCTAGTAATTCCTGTGTATCTGCTCTTCCATCCGAAAAAAGCTTATTATTCCCACCACTAGCTCCTCCTCCTCCTCCCTTCGGAATATCAGTATTATCATCCGGTGAAGCATCAAAATTTGATGGCAAAAAAGTTCATTATATGTTTAAAATACTTTAGTATTTTTAAATACATTGTTTTCATTGATACCTTAGTAACTTAATGATTCTGTTTGTGTCTTTCTTACATTTGCTCATCATTTATTTTATCATTTGATGTCCTTTTGCTGTTGTACACTTAGTGATACTCATAAAATTACAAGCTTTTTTTTTACATGGTGCTGAATTATTGCAAAAATTTTTCCTTTTGCTTTCTACTTAATAAATTTTTCTTAGTTTCATTTTTCATGCAGCCAGCACTTGAAGTTCTTAAATAGTGATCATTAGAGGAAACTGAGCTTTATTTTACTTATTTAGAAAACATCTGTGCTAAATGAGATGCTAGCAATTATTCAGTTCAGCGAATTTCTTGCTTAATGAGAAGCAATTTTGTACACATATGTTTGGAAAAAAAAAATAAAATGCTATTCAGTACCAATTGTTAAATCAATTTATTTATATTCAGTTAATATCAATTTAATATTTTCTTCCTGATTGATTGTAAGTGACAAAAAGAACAAATTTTTAGTTTCTTCTGCTGTTTTAGTTTCCAAATATTATCGTTTCTTCGATATAACAACTTTCGAATTTAGCGAGAAAGAGCTTAATTTTTGCTATTTTTTTTTAAAAAAAAATAAGATCTTTTGATCAAATAGAATGTTTCAATTATTTTAATATTATATTACACTATATTTTACTCACTTCATATATTTTTATTAAGTTTCACACATGAAAAAAAAAAGATGTTTTGTTAATCATTATTTCAGTAATCAATTATAAAATGATCTTTTTTTTTCTTAGTAATATGAAAATGTTGAAGAAAAGCTAACGCAATGAACCTGGTTCTATCAATTTGATGATGTTTAGGATCTTTAAGCTAAAGCAAGTGGGCTTAAAGACCCTAAGCGTATATTAGAAAACAGCAATTTCGCGGATATAATTAAATCAGGGAGTAATACAACAAGTGTGGTCGCTGTCCCATCATCGAAAGTGACTTTAAACTACTTTTACATCCATTCTACTACTGCTTAGTAGCATTTAAAAAAATTCTTTTTTTTATTTATGGTATTATTGAATTGCTGCCGTGCTTCTATAATAATTTTGTCTTAAAAATAATTCTGTCATTTTTGTAAATATAAGAGAGAGAGAGAGAGAGAGAAATTACCTCTAAGTTTATTAAGAAATTATTAAAATAATGTTAAAATTATTTTATCTGCTGCAAGATATTTTTGTAGAAAGTGATCAAAAAACAAAAAAGATATATGATATTCTTACATAGTATTTACTTCATTTAAAAACTTTGAAATTGTCAAAAAAAAAAGAGAAAAACTTTCTTTACTCATATTTCTTCTGTGTTATTTTCATGCAAATTTTCAGGTAAATATTATTAGATGAGAAATCGGAAAAAAAAGAAATCTTTGTCTCTTAAAATGTCTATTATTCCTTGAATGGAAAAGAAAACGAAATTTCATTTCCATTCTATATTTCAGGACGGAATTTCATTTCCATTCCATATTTCAGGACGAAATTTCATTTCCATTCCATATTTCGGGACAAAATTTCATTTCCATTTCATTTCAGAATGCTGTAGAATGTTAGAAAAACAAAAAATTTTTACTACAAAAAAAAAAATAAGGTGTATATAAATACAAAATAAGTATAGAATATCTATCTGTTTTTTTTTTTTTTAATTTTCAGCGCATTTCATTAAGAGATTTCACATCGTAAACTATTTATTAATTTAACCTTGATGACCTCAATAAAACTTGAAAATATTTAAATTTATGCAATCTAAACAAATATTTAAAATCATTAATGTTTTCTTAGAAATATTTCATTTATCATTGTTGCATGTAAACTTAGTCATTAAGCTCACTCATTAAATTTAACTATTTATTGCAATATTAATTCAAATTGCTCATTTCACTATGAATTTTTCAATTCTATTTTAAAAATTATGCACTTTCATCCTATTATACATTCTGCTCTTTTCATTTTTTTCTTTAAACTTTTCAGAACTTTAACAAATTTTTGTTTAGTAGTATTTCTATATATTGAAATATTTATTTTAGTTATTGTTTCATGCATTTATTTTCAGATGAAAAAATTTGCTAATTTCCAACTATTTTATTTGTGTTTTTTTTATTTCATTTTACTTTATTTATTGTATTTACTTCACATTTTAATTTATTATATCTAAAATTTGAAGAAATTTGCAGCTAAACTAAGCCATAAAAATTAATCTCAATCGATTTCTATAATTTGTGAAATTCTAAAATTAAACTAAATTTATAAGTTTAATTTTATTAATTTGACAGTAGACGAATATTTATTATAAAAGTGTTATGATGACTGATATTATAAGGCAATTATTAGAGAATATTATGGTTAGAGTGAATTATTTGTTTTTAAGAAAAAATTTGTATTTGCTTATTTAAAATTTTAATTTGGAAAATATTTCTGTGATACAAAAAAAAAAAAAAAATTGAATTATTTTTATTATAAAATTATTTTAATCCTTCTATCACAACGAATAAACTTTTCAATTTAGAAGAAAGTTTTTTTCTTCTCAACTTTAACCATGTTTTTTGAATAGTTTCTTTTTTTTTTGTTTCAATTTTTTTTTTTAAAAAGGAAAAGTAAAAGGAATGCTTTTCATCAGACATATTTATAAAGTGTTGAAATGAATTTTTCATGCTCACTTAATAGTAGCAATTTCTTAGTTCAGAAAGAATGTAAATTATAGTACTTTGGCTTACTTGCTATTAAAATTAAACATTTTTTAACTTTTATTCATTTTCAAAAAAAAAAGGAAAAGAAAAAAGTTATGGCTGATAATATCTAATTACAATTATATAGAATTTTTAGAACTTTGATAATTTTTACCACTAATAAAATTTGCTTGAACAAATAAAATTGATCATTTCCTATTACACTAATATTTTCGATTAACTAATAAAAATTAACTTATTGATTTTTAAAAACTTACTATGAAATAAATCATCAAAAAAAAAAAATCTGAATTAACAAATTAATCATTTATATTAAAAAAAAAAAATTTTTTTTTAAAACCAGGAAAGATCAACTCAATCGATTTATTAAAAAATTACAAAGATTGATTCAATTGATCTCATTGCTATTCATTCTCCTTTTTTGCATATAAAATATTAACATGATAATATTATTATTATCATCACCATCACCATCATCATCAATCGTCATCATCATCATCATTATCAGTCATTATCATCATCACCACCATCATCATCACCACCATCATCATCATCATCATCGTCATCATCATTATCAGTCATCGTCATTATCATCATCATCAATCACAAAGAGATTTAAAATTATGTTTGTTTACTCAAATTTAAACATGTTTATTTACTCAGATAGCAAAATGCGCTTACTCATCCAATCATTAACCGCGTGACTTTCTGCTGTTATTCCTTCATACTAACATAAAAGCGGAAAAAATTTAAATTTGTAATCGTTATGCATTTAAATGATGTATGAAACTTTATTTAGCTCAAAATTTTGGTAATGAAATTTGCCACAAATGTGCTCTAAATTTACAATTGTGTTGCAATATTTAAAAAAATAAACGAATTTCGAATTGTAATTTTGTCATCCTTTACATCAGCAATATTTTATTGTATTTTATAAAAGAAAAAAAAATTGAAATTATCAGAATAAAAAAAAAAAGAAGCTCAAATTATTTTCTTTTATCAAATCTCAAAAAAAAAGAAAAGAGAGAGAGGGAAAGAGAAAAAAAGCGAAATCTAATTCATTGTTGTTACAGCACTTCAAATTTTTTTCTCAAGTATTTCGTCTTAATGACATTCTTGTGAAATATTTATTCTGTCAAAGTTTAATCGTTCTCAAAAAATTATCATCCAAAGCAATATGCAGAGAAAGATTTTAATTTAATAATTAATATAATTAAATATTGTTTTGAAATTTATATTTTGGATTAATTTAATTTTAATTAAATCTATGAAATGCATTCATTTTGTGTTGTCAAACAAACAATTTTTAGCCACTTAGCTAAATTAATTCTATCAAAAAAGTTTGCTTTCTCAGTTTAAAGTGAGTTACTGATATGGTAGAATTGATAAGATAATAATAATTCATTCTGTGATCAAAGATTTCATTTGTAATTAATTTAATATGAATTTTAATCGAAATTGAAAATTGCAAACTTTATATAGCAAATTATATAATTTGGATGAATGCTTAAATTCTTTCCTATTCCATTCTCATTCCCACTTAATCATTTTTCTCAAACAATTTTTGGAATTGAAAATTGTTAATAATAAGATGATTGTGTTTTATTCTAAAAAATTTCAACAAATGATTCGAAAAAGAAGCAAAGACTTTATTTAGTCTCAGAATTCTTTTTGGATGATATTTTTTTAAAAAAAGCAATTTTGAAAAAATTTAAAAAAAAAATTTTTGTTGATGAAAATGTAACAAACACTATAAAGTAAATTATAATGTAATTTATAAGTATTTTATAAATAATTTATATGTAATTAAATAAGTAATTAAGTAAGTTTAAAAATTGTTCACAAATTATTCATATGTCCATTTTGTCTTATTAAACTAATTAGTCTAATAATTTTCATTCGTTTTGAATAGCAAAAATTTAATGATACAATATTTTTGATATATTTAATTAATAAATGATTGATTTTACAGTGAAAACAAAATCAAAATTTTAATCAATAAAAAACTTTCACTTTTTTATAATTAATTTTGTGAAAAAAACAGAAAAAATAGCATTCGTATATGTATATTAAAAGAAAAAAGCGACTGATATCTGCTAGCAAAATTTTTTTACAATTTAATTTATTTAAATAAATATCACTTTTTTCTTATTTTTTTGCTAATCATGGATTTATTCATTTAGTAAAACTTAAGTTTATGCTTGAGTTACAAAAAAAAAAAAAAAAAAATGAATAATTGCAGGGTCAATTTTCAATAACTTATAATTATTTTAGATTGAAAAAAAATAAA